CGAACCCGCGGGCTCAGGCAATCCTCTCACCTCAGCCTCCCAAAGGCGCCGGATTACAGGCTGATCCACCGAGCCCGGCTTGTGCTTGAAATTTCTAAGGGAGGTCGGGCACAGTGGCTCACCCTGTAATCGCAGCACTTTGGGAGGCTGATGCAAGAAGATTGCCTGAGCCCGGGGCTTTGAGACCAGCCTGGGCAACTTGGTGAGACCTTGTCTCTACAATAAATCACAAAAACTAGGCGGGCATGTTGGCATGTGTCTGTAGTCCCAGCTATTTGGAAGGCTGAGGTGGAAGGATTGCCTAAACCCACCAGGTCGAGGTTGCGGTGGCCATGAGCATATTACTTCACTCTAGCCTGGGTGACAAGAGTAAGAGTCCAACTCAAAAAAAAAAAAAAAGAAAAAGAAATTCCTAAGGGAGTTTCTCAGTTGAAAAACTTAACTAGAACAATAAATATAAAATCATCAAGTGATTACAATATACTGCCATGTCATTCTCTGTAAAGCAGAGGCGATATATAGACATTAGATAATCTTCATAGAATTATTTTGAACTAGGTAAGGTAAGAAAATTGAGGTTTATACATGGTCACATAAGAAGTCAAATAAAGAGAAGGCATAATCCTTTGTGGTAGAAGATATGTGTAGTATCAGACTGAATACTGAAGTAGTAATTCTTTATTCTATTCGTCTTTCTTTCCACAGAAACTTAGTCTCCCTGGTAGAAAGAATGCTTTCCAGGAGTCAGTGTCAAAAGAAAACTTATTGCTCCAAAGTAAATATCCAAGGGGAATGGAAAAGCTGAATGTGTCAACACATTCTGTTTCAACAATATGTAGAGTTGCATCATGGTCTGATTAAACTCACCATTCCTACGTGAGTCTGATCAGATAAAGGAACTCTTAAGGCACAGAGGAAAATGAAGACAAGTTTGATTTGGAAATAAAAGCACTATTTAAATATGAACTGTTATCGGCTTTCATAAGATACAAGTGTATATTTAATATTTGCTAACTGGAAGAGAGGTTATGAAATAATCCAACCAAAAATAAATTTACTACAATTTAAAAAGATAGAATACATAATTCTATAAATGGAGTCCACTAACTCACCTGAGTTTTTCCCTTGCCTCTATCTAAACCAAAGCTGTTTTTTAATCTTTTATGAAGTTGGACTAAATGACGTTCAACTTGGTCATTCTCCCCTTCAATATTATTATTATCTGTGGGGCTGTTCGGTATTTTACTCACCTCTAACTTGTGCCCATTTTTGATCTGCACAGTAGTACTTTTAAGACGTTCCCTTTCTTCTCAAGCTGCCCCATCCCTCTCTCCTTTGGTTATTGATGGCTATACCTTCTACTTGAATGAAAAAGTAGAGATCATTAGCCATGAATTCTCTGAACATTTTACCCCTTAATTTTCAACTTTATATTTCCCTTTTTGTCTGGTTCTTTCTTCTTCTTGTCCTTACTACTTTGCCAAGGATTGCTTCTTCATTTCAGCTCATGATCAAATTTTTCGTCAGCAATGACAGTTCCTTTCTCAAATTTTTAGTATCTAATTTTCTGGAATGTTCCCTTAGCTCAAGCATCCTGAATTTAAAAATTATTTTCCCTCAAACTTAATTCTTCCTCAAGCAGCCTTAGTTCTCTCTCCGTACTTCACCGAATCAACCTTCTAAGAGATGCCTGCACTTGCTCATATTTCCACTTTCAATTCAGTCCTCAGCCCACGGGGCCCCTAATCTTGTTACTTGCATAAGATATTCCACTTGATCCAAAGATCTAGTAGTTCTAGAGTTTCTTCTAATTTCTCCTGGTCCTATGGACTGTTATTTATGCTTAATATCCTTGTATTTTAACTGTTGTCATCACATAAAAGCCAAACTCATTACCACCATCTGCCATTATGTTGTCCACTCTCTGCCTTTTGCTCTTCATGCCAACATCACCATTTATTTACTAGTTCAAGGTTCAAGTATCAGCATTGTCTTTTATTCTCCTTCTCCACTGGCTGCCCCCATGTGCGCACATATGCACACACAAACACATGCACACACCATTCTGTAAGCCTCCTTCATCTGGACACAACCTCTTCATGCCACTGTCACTTCTTTGATCTAGCTCTTCATCGTTTGAGCCTGCTTTGTTTCGGTGAATTTCGACATGAACCATTTCCTTGTAGCCACTTTATTGTGCAATCATTCAACAATAGAGTAATCAGCATAAAATGAAAACAAGAATACGATCATGCCAAACCCCAGTTAAAAACCTCTGAAACAATCGAGTCCCATAGACCATATTTGAATCTTTCTCTGTTGTCATGTTTCACTGTCCACACCAGGCAGATTGTCATTCTTTAGTTGAACCAAGTTTTCTATGCCTCACATTTAGCAAATGTTGTTCTCTTAGCCTGGTATTTACTATACCTTTCCCATGGGTGGAAAATTTACCTCCTCTTTGTTTTTGTTTTTGTTTTTGTTTTTTTTTGAGTTGGAGTCTCACTCTGTCGCCCAGACTGGAGTGCAGTGACCGCTCCCGGCCACTGCAGCCTGGACCTGCTGGGCTCCGGCGATCCTTCTGCCTCAGCCTTCCGAGTAGCCAGAATTACAGGCGCGCACTACCACGCCCAGCTGATTTTTAATTTATTGTAGAGATGTGGTCTCGCCAAGTTGCCCAGGCGGGTCTCGAACCCGCGGGCTCAGGCAATCCACTCACCTCAGCCTCCCAAAGGTGCGGCCCCTCCTCTTTATGCTCCCACAGGACAGTGTAAATACTTCAAAAGATGGTGCTCACTGTGTTTTATTACCATGGTCTAAAATGCCAGACCTCCACTACACCACAGATTGAGAGTTTTGAAGGCACCAGTTACTCAAGAAGTATTCTCCTCATGTGTGAATAAATAAATCAATGTTCTGAATTTCAAACTTATGAACATACAATAAAATAACAGAAATAGGGCCACTGGGAACAGGAAGTTGTTTAGAGGTGAAGAAGAGTGAAAATTATTAATACAACTATTAATAAAATAGCAACTATAATTTGTTAAAATGAGTAAAACACAACTTCATTTCTAGAACCCCATTTAGAACTATTGCAATACCCTGATGATCTGTTAGGATAGCAAGAATGACATGAGACCCTCAGGTTCTTATCAGATAAATTGCAACTTGTTATGAGTTTTGAGATGGGAGTCATGAAAAGATGGTGGACGTTATCAGACAAATGTGTGGATCCACAGGATAAAAGTGGAGACCAATTGTATACAGAGGCAGAGTTGCCGCAAAAAGACAGTTGTAGGTACTAAGTGAGAGTAAGGACCTATTTAGAAGTCTCCTGAACATAGAAAGAACATGAACACTACAGTAAACGAAAGACTGGAATGAACTGAGAAAATGAGCTAATGATGGCATCAATCTGCAAACCTGCTTGTCAGTTTTCATTGTTTTCCAAGCTGTGCTATGTATTAAATAATATTCAAGTCCATCTAATGTTTTCTGTGCTTGCCTCTAGTGATTCATATTTAAAAATTGGTTTGATTTGGGGAAAACCCTACAACGATGTCTCAAACAATCTGACAAACTAGTTCTAACATCTGTTCATACATCAATAGAAATATATTCAAAATGCTATTCACTCTATTATCAGAGGGGTTTTCAAAATGAGTTTAAAGCTTTTCAAAATATTAGAAAATGTTCACAAGGTTGGATAGCTAAAACTCAGGTCCTACATAAATATGAGCTAATATTTAAGTGTTTGTTTCAATTAAACATTTAATTCTCACTTTTCCCAGACAATGTATTTTCTAGGAAAATAAATGTTTCTTATCAAGATGACAGTGTACTAAAGTTAAATCTACTATTCATTTTTAGTTTCTGTAATTTTATTCATTATGCCTTCTATGTTAGAGAAGATGCAGTTGAACAAAAGTTGGTTTTATTACATAATAAACTCTGGGTATAAATTTATTATTATTTTTTAAATAGGAGCTTCCTTTTCTCTTTGTCCACTCTGGTACTTACATATCACTGGCAATGGAGGAGTTCCGGGACATAGACTTTGGAGAGAGGTCATAATCGCTGTCGGATCGATACAGGAAGGACTCCCGGCGTTGACTGTGGACAAAATTTGCTTGGAGAATTAGCCCAGATCCTGGGCTGGTCATGGGATCCAAGGGACTCCGTCCCGCAGATGTGCCATTGTCCACATCAAAACTGTAAAGGAAGGAGAAGGAATCACATTGCTATGAATGCTTTCATGTCGATATTTTAGCAAAGTATTTACTTTCAGTCTAGGAATTCACAGTGGGATTAGCAAAAGTCAAATTTATAGTCATTTCTGCTATTAAACTATAATAATATTCAAATACAGAAAAGAAAAATAATATTGACTTCACATTCTTATGTTCCTGAGCTTTTGGATACTATTGCTAACTGATCGGATATAAGACACAGGTCTTATATCAAGTTTAGTTAAAAGGGAATCATTCTACAAAAAGTAATCTTCTGAGTGCAGAATTCCTTTTTGGAAGATAATAAATACATAGTAATTCAGTAAATGTTTGGGCTCAATTCAACAAGTGACCATTATATACCTAATGTTATATGTTCCCCTAAACCTGGGATTCTCTCCCCTGTTCCTCATCCCACTACACTTATTCAAACACAAGTTTCTGTTGTATTCACTCACTTCCATTCCCACTACCACAATATTTTAAATTCAGGATCCCATCAGCTCTCACCCACATTAGTACAACAGGCTTTATATTAGTGTCTTTAACCCATTTCACACCCTACATCAAGTGTGATTCTTCTTAATATACAAATCTGACTCTGTCATTCTTCAATTTAAGCCTTCAGTAATTCACTATTACTCTCAGGATAAAGTCCAAGTTTCTTGGCCAGAATGAATGTCTTAACTATCTGCTCTCTATTACAATTATCTTCCCAGCCTCAACCGGCATCCCTCTTCCATTAGGTACTTCACCTCCACTCATATTGAACCACTACTTCCTAATCTAGCTCAACCAGATAAGTTTGTTTTCCAATTTAAAATTTTATTAGATTTGTGTGACTTTGTAGATATTTTCATTTGGTCCTGGAAAGACAAGGAGAGATTATCTAGTTGAGTAAACTCATTTTATAGACAAGAATACTAAGTCCTAGAAAAGTTAAATGACCAAAGTCACTGAGTTAACTGGATGTAATCATCTATTGTTCCTGAAGTCCTTCCAGGTCTGTTGCATAACTATGTCAACCACAACTATGTATCAATGACTGTGACACCCAAGCAAAGGTCATCTGTTTCTCCTGAATAGGATAGGCACTTATGTATGTGAGACTTTGGCAATCCTATAGAAGGCCAGAGGGCAGAGGAGTACCAAATCATTAAATATATTTATTAGGGATCTCAGGCAAGCTCTTCTTCGATATGCTTAATTAAATAGGCATTTATTAAGCACCTACTATGAGCACACTATGATACAAAAATAAAGGATGAATGATTAATTCTGGCTGAGGTATGTGAGAAGTTTTCCTGGGAGGAGCAGTATTTAAAGAGGGACTTTTGGCCGGGCATAGTGGCTCACACCTATAATCCCAGCACTTTGGGAAGCCAAGGTGAGAGGATTGCCTGAGCCCACAGGTATGAGACCAGCCTGGGCAACTTGGCAAGACCTCATCTCTACAATAAAAATCAAAAAATTAGCTGGGCGTGCTGGCACATGCCTGTAGTTCCAGTTACTTGAAAGGCTGAGGTGGAAGGATCGCCTGAACCCAGCAGGTGAAGGCTGCGGTGGCAGTGAGCATGCTGCTGTACTCCAGCCTGGGCAACAGAGTGAGACTCTGACTCAAAAAAATAAATTAAATAAATAAAATAAAATAAAAATATAGAAGGACTTTGAAGGCATTTAGTATTCAACTGGAAGATATTAAAGATTCTGAATAGTGGAAATACAGCAATAGATCTCTTTTCTAAAAAGATAGTCATGGCAGGTCTTTAGCAAGAGAAGGATCTAATAATGTAAATATGTATTAAAATATTTATGTTGATTTCTTATTAATATCAAGATGTTCCTGTTGCTAAATTACTAAAAAGAAAATACTCTCTGAAAAGAAATATAGGAGATACCAAAGTGTAATTTGGGGTTTAGTTTTCTCAGTTCAATTGAGTAAATACCAAATTTTTAAACATTAGTAATTTGTATTTTTTATATTTTTCCAATATAATTAAGGATGTCAACTTACAGACACAGACACTCCACTATAAGTTTTGAAACTAATATTGTTAAATATCATAAAACACTTAACATTTTTAGCTATAATACTACCTATGAAAATCAAAACATTTTAAAATAGGTTAGAAAAAGCTATTCTAGTTTTGATATTTTTCTTTGTATGTTGTAATGTAACAATGTGTCCACTAGATGGAGATCATTTTCTTAAATAAGGAAAAGTTATTTTAAAGAACTTAGCCACCTAAATTACCTATTTCTTAAAGAATCATAAAAACAACCTTTAAATATCATCTAAAAAATAAAATTTCACAATTCACAATTCGATAATAAGTAATTACCAATACTTATAAAATTACATTAATTTAAGTAATATTTGTATTAGCTTTATGAGCACTGAGAATGAAGTTCTACAATTGGTCACTGATGTTCTATTAGACTTTTATTTTAAAAAATACAGAAGACTTAAATGAATTTCCATAACAAATCGCTGAAAGCATATTATAGTGGGATAAAGTAACTTGAGTATCATTAATGATTTAGGGTATCACTCTAAACTTTGACAGCACAATTTTTCTCAGAATATAGTTTGTTTTGGGAAGTGGACTTAGGGTCTGAGGTCATTAGCATGATTGGTTTCCATTATATTCAATGCTCCTACAATCAAAATTCATTGTCGAGAAAAAGTAATATTACTCAGAACCTCTAGTCTGAAGCACTAGTAGATGTCAATATTGGTGAATGGCCTTATAGAAAAGACTTTGTCTTACAAAAAATTTCAATGAATAAACTTTGACATATTCTCCCATATCCTCAGATTAGCACTTGAATAAATACAAATATATTAAACACAGCACTTCTCTACAAGGTATTAAAGTCTTTTAGTGAAGCAACTAGAGAAAAAAGCACCAAAACATATGACATCTGTATTAAATATTAATAGTATATAAATACCAAAATACTGAATTGTGATATCTAGGTAATCAGAATATGTGATTTAGATAATGAATATAAGGAAATTTAAGGAACTGAAATATGACTGTCTTTGAAAGGCAGTTAAAAAAATGCCCACAAGTGGGGTGGAGGGTATCCAGCAAAAGTAAAGCACCAAAAGCAAATCTAAGAAGGAATGAGTAAGGTATGTGTGGAAATTTAATGTCTGGCTCCATGTCAGGATTGATATTGAAGAATAGTGGGGACCTATACAAATTGCAGTTTTGTACAGTTCATTCTAACAAGTAGGGCTGGTTGTGTTTATGGAAAGCTATGCCCAGGAGTGTTAGCAGAGGCTTGTTTAAAATAAATATGTGGAAAGATACAGGTCAACTTTTAACACTGAAACCTCAGGGGAATGAGATAAGAAGACTACTACTTTTCAGTTGTATAATAATTGATTTGTTAAAATAAACGTATTGTTCTCTGCAACTAAATAAGAAAATAGAAACTAGCAAAGAATAAAAATAAATAAATAAACCAATAGGGGACCCCTCCTCCCCAAAAAAGGCTCGTTCATTAAATCTTTCAAATATTAGAACCAAGGAGAGTGCCTTTTGAATTTTAAAAGGGAGTACATTTTCTTTTTTTTTTTGAGTTGGAGTCTCACTCTGTCGCCCAGACTGGAGTGCAGTGGCCGCTGCCGGCCACCGCAGCCTCGCCTGCTGGGCTC